CCCGGGACCCGGGCGGCCCGGCTGGTAGCCTAGTTAATAAATGGATTAAAAAAAAAAAAAAAGTGTCACCCCATCTACTAATCAGACAATCACGTGACGACTCATCTTGCCCACAAATCGTTGAAGGGGGTGAACGATGTGAGGAGACCCAACCCATCTGGCTGAATGGTACACCCATGCTAACTGTTGACGATCAGATCATGAGTTCAAATCCTGACGGAATCACATGGAATATCATTCTGTTAGGGCTACCCCGTTTCAAAAAAACAAAAAAACAAAAAAAAACAAAAAACAAAACAAAAAACAAAACAAAAAACAAAACAAAAAACAAAACGAAAAAAACAAAAAAACAAAAAAGAACAAAAAAATTACCCCGTTTGCGAGGCCCTATGCTTGCAGGGGTCCCCTCTATATAGCCTTAGGAATAGTGGTAGGAAGGTAGTGAAAGGCGAAAAACAAAAAAAAAAAAGGAGAAAAAAAAAGAAAAGCATAGGAGATGGGGGGGGGGGGGGAAGGAAGAGGGTAGGAAGCGGGAAGGGAAGGGAAGGGAAGCCTGGAAAGAAAAACACCCACAGATTTCTTGCCATGCCAAGCGAAAGAGAGAGAGAGAGAGAGATCCACATCCACCGCCATCTGCCAAGGAGCTGGCAGGTGGACCGAAGGACACGGTAATACAATCGATTAATTGATTAATCAATTAATTAATTAATAATCAAGTGAGTTTTGGAAAACTGAATTCACAATGGTCATGGTATTAATTAATCGATTCACTGAGATCTGAATTTGAGATCTTGACAACTGAATTTGAGATGTTGACGTATCAATTATTACAGTACTAATCAGGGTTTTGAGGTCTCGATCAGGTCACCTCACATCACACAGACGTGATGACACCTTCAGGGCATACTCGCAAGAGAAGAGGACTTTCCTCGATGAATCTGACCGGAATTACAGCCTGATACGGACGTATCTGACCCTAATTGCGGCCAGAGCGAAGTCAAAAGAGTTGACGTACCAATCACTAATCACGGTTTTGAGGTCTTGATCTGGTCCTCTTACATCACACCGACATGATGACACCTTCAGGGCATACTCACAAGAGAAGAGGACTTTCCTCGATGAATCTGACTGCAATTACGGCATGTCTGATCCTAATTGCGTCTAGCGCGAAGTCGAAAAAGCTCTCGAGTCTTTGCGATTTAATCTTCTTCGTTCAACACCTACAAAAGCTTCTTTCTCGTGGAGATTTTTTCTTTTCCTGCTTTCTTTTTTTTTTTTTTTACGATCTCGTTCGTTAATCTGCAAAGCTTCTTGTTCAGCATTTCCAACCCTTGTTGATCATTACCCTTCTTTTTTTTACCTTCTCCGTTTTCTCTTTTCTCTTCTCGAAAAAAATCTGTTTTTTCCTTGCCCCCTTTGCGTCCTTTTCTTTTTTTTTTTTTTTTTCCTTTTCTTTTTGCGTCCTTTTTTTTTTCTTTTCTTGCTTTTTTTTCCTTTTTTTTTTTTCGCGTTCGTTCTCGTGGGGGGGGGGAGGACAGCGATGCTTTCAGGTTCAAAACCCCTTAAAAAAAAAAAAAAAAAAAAAAAGTCAAGAAGAGAGTTTTCCGCGCGAGGCAGCTGGTAGTACGTCGGAGTCGACGGTAATAATGATGGTCATATATAAATATATAAATACGACTTTATAATGATTGATACTAACTAATTTGATAGTGATGCCGACGATGACCATTACAGGGAATGCCGACGATGTACCGTCGGCATTCCCTGCAATTGTCATCGTCCGTACATCGAGAGGGCCAGGAGGAGGAGGTGGCGTAGGAACGGGTGGAAGGGAGCCATAGAAGAAGAAGAAGAATTGAATTGAATTGAATCGCTTACACTTCACGTGACGATCGCAAGAATCGAACACACGCCCTACCGGTCAGGAGGCAAAGCAAACACTCAACCAAACGGCTAAGTGGACTGGGGTGAAAGTTAAGCCCCAAGATGAGTACTTAAAGCCCACCCTACCCCACACGGGTACTCGTTTTTTTCCCGCGACCCGGTGTACCCAGTCAGACACACACCCAACACACGCGTCAACGCAACCACCACACAATGTACGACCGCAATGCAGGTTGCTAGGCAGGTAAGAATTGAATCTCTTACACTTCAGGTGACGATCCCAAGAATCGAACACACGCCCTCCCGGTCAGGAGGCAAAGCAAACACTCAACCAAACGGCTAAGTGGAGAAATTGAAGAAAGAAGAAGAAGAAGAGTGGAAACAGTGGCCAACTGCCTTTCGTACAGGCGTCGAAAGCTCTTCCAAACCTATCCGCGCATACTCATCTCAGCTCACGCGCACATTACCCCCCGACGCGTTTCGATCGGCTGCGCTTCGATCATCCTCAGGGGGCTAACCTCATGACCCTGCCTTGCGGCCAACAGTGGCCGTACTGCTTTCAGTACATGAAGAAGAAGAAGAAGAACAGGATAGCAGAAAAGAGAGAGTAGTAGCGAGGCCAATCGCTAGGCGTTCGAGCAAAACAGTAAAATACCTTCATTCAACGCGCGAGTTGAAACCCTAAGCCGCGAGTTCACACCCTCCTGATCGGACATATCAAAGCTCAGAAACGCGCACATTCCCCGACGCGTTTCGTCAGGCGACTCGATGACGATGACGATGACGATCACGATCACGATCGATGAGCCGTGCCGGTCTGAACACCCGAGTTCAAACCCTAAGGCGAGTTCGAACACTAAGGCGATGAGACTTGGGCCCGACTATTACGGCCTCGTGATTCCAGCCGCGTGCTACGCAAAACTGGGCGAAATGCAAGAGGAGAGAAAAGAATCCGAGAAAGAAAAAAGAAAAAAAAACAAGAAGGACACGTCCAACCCTTACAAAGATCAAAGTAGAAGAAGGAAAAGAAGGAGAAAAGCAGAAGAGAGAAAGGAGGAGGAGGAGGAGAAGGAGACGAAGAAGAACGAGACCGAGAGCAAGAACAAGGAGAAGGACAAGAACCGGTTATCCAGTCCTCAGAAAGAAAGAAACAAAGAAAGAAAAAAAGAAAAAAAGAAGGAAGGGGTAACTTCAGTACGGTCACAAAAACACAAAAACACAAAAACAGTTTTGAAATTACACTTCAGGCATTCCCCCGAAAATAACACACCCCGTACGGTCAGAAAGAAAGAAGGAGAGAACAACGAAGAAAAGGAGGGGGATGAGAGAAGGGGAGGAGGAGGGGGAGGAGGAGGAGGAGGGGGAGGAGGAGGAGGACGTCGCGGAACAACTCACCTCACAGCTTTTTCCGGCTGCTTACAGGATGCAGCGACCTGTGTGGAGCAGGAGCAGGAGTTGAAACGAAATTCCAAGTTTCTGCCTGAACGTTAGACCCGCGCGAACTTTTGGCTCCGCAGTGCTCCCGGAATTTGTCGGGAAGAAAGGCCCAGCGTTCTGCTCTTACCGGCAGGAGGGGCAGGGGGCAGAGGGGGGAGAGGCAGGGCGGCGCCACAGACAGGGACCCGCCCACAGGTTGCTCGGCGTCGCACGGCTGCCCGCCGGCCTCGGCTTGGCACAACTGGAAGTGGCCCTTTTCCGGGGCCCCGCGCAAAATGCCACTCCTATGGTACAACAGATATTGCCCAAAAAATTCTGGTCTGGCTGTTATTGAAATGAGGAGGTCCCGCATTGGCTGTACTACGCTGACATTCTTACACCAAGGCGGGTGCTGGATTCGGTGAACTCGGACTTGCCTCTGGAGGTGGATATGTGGCAAGACACTGCTGTCCAGTTTTCGGTGGAAGAGAGACTGGCTCTAGACAGACCAGTCACATTGGAAGAATTGAAGCAAACGCTGAAGTCAATGGCCCCAGGAAAATGCCCGGGACGACGGAACCGCGTTGGCAGTAATGGGACCGGCGCTGGTGGAGGTCTACAATGAGGTACTGCTGGAGGGTGCTCTGGGAGAAGCCATGGCCCATGGGGTGATCTCAGTGATGTTCAAGAAAGGGGACAAGGCGAATATCAGAAATTACCACCCCATATCGGTCTTGAACGTTAACTATAAACTGCTGGCGAAAACTTTGGCTTTACGCCTGGGGAGAATACTTCCGAGATTAGTGGAGGGGGACCAAGGAGCCTTCGTGCAGGGACGCTCCATCTTTGTCAACATTCTGACAGCGATCGAGAGCATTGAGGTAATACAAGCAGAAAACTTAGACTTCTCGGTTCTTCTCTTGGACATGGAGAAGGCGTACGACAGGGTGGGGTGGTCATTTGTCTTGACTACACTGAGGAAGATGGGATTCGGACAGGGTTTTTGTAAGTGGGTGATAGCAATGTACACAATGGCCACCTCAGCGGTTCAGATCAACGGGCATCTCTCCAACCCTTTCCACCTATCTATATCGTTGCGCCAGGGCTGTCCCTTGGCCCCCTTCCTGTTCGTGCTGCAGTTAGAAATTCCGATGAACCGCATCCGCAAACACCCTCGAAACAGAGGATTACCGGTCTCCACTACCCGAGAATGCAGAGCGAAAGCATTGGCAGACGACCTGTTCTTGGTCTCAGCCAATACATTGGAATCAATGGATGCTGTGAAGGAGGTACTCGCGGAATACTCACTGCTATCGGAGGCCCTAGTAAACTGGAACAAGTCTAAGTATCTGTTGCCAGAGGGCAGGGCACTACAAGTGGACTGGGGCATGCAGAGGGTAGACCCAGAATCCGGAGAACGTTTCCTAGGGGTAATGGTGAGCACACGGCTAATGAGCATCACACAGGGAGTAATCCTACAGCAAAGAGTTCAGGCCAGATTAAAAGTATGGGGACCGGCCTGACACTTATCGCTCATGGGTAGAGTCATGGTCATCAATGTAGCTCTGTTCTCCCTCATCTGGTTCGTGGGCACAGTCAGAGAACTCGCTGCAGCAGTAGTCGCAGAAATCCGAAGGCTGGCATCCAAGTTCCTCTGGAAGCCTAGAGCGTTAACTGAAGAAGGGTCCATGCCGAAGGTAGCCTGGGAGCTCATCACTTACCCTAAGGAACAAGGGGGTATGGGCCTGATCAATCCGCAGCAGAAGAATCAAGCACAGCTGAGACAGTGGTTGACTAGGGTGGCTATGGCAGACAGCAAGGAGGACTGGATCTTATTGGCAGAAAAAATTCTGATGAGAGACTGGGGTCTGAGCCGCACAGAAGACGTCTGGCTTTGTTTTTTCACAAAATCATTTTTGAGGAAGAAACTCTCTTCCGAGTTCTGGGAAGCAGTGAGAAAAGTCTGGCTCAGGCACCCCCCCGAAGTCCCGGTGCCGCCAAGCACCAAAGAGGAGATCTTGAGGCAAGGGTTATTCGAGAATGCCTTCATCTTAGACACCGAGGGGGTTCCCTTCTCTGCAGGAGCAGCCCCGGGGGCATTCGGCAGAGCCTGGATATGCAGGGGCATATCCAGAATTGGGGATTTATGGGCTGCCCTTCAAGGATCCTGGAAACCCTTCGGGGAGATCCTACCTGCCTTACAAGGCATGTGGCGTGCAGAAGAACATTGGCATAAGCTATTACAATCTATCCTAGATCACTGGAAGCAGCTGCTGGGTCCGGAGGGGGTAGATCCTGTTGGCACATGGTATGCCCCCATGACAAATGCAGAAGGTTAGAGAAGAGGTGAGCTATGGGAGGTTCAACGTTTGACAGACGTGGGCTTTAGAGAAGTGCAGAAATGGAAGGAGGGAGATCAGCCAGGGTTGGTGGTCCCTGGTGGAGAAGAAACTATCAGGATATGGACGAACCCCCCACAGGTAAGGGTGGTCCAAACGCGTAACCGGAGGGGGACAGTGCTATCTACAAGATGGGTGGGGAGAGCTCCCCTGCGAGATCTAGCCATAGATCCGCTAGCATGGCAGTGGCTTGGAGGCACAGTCTCAAAGGCTAACCCCCAAGAACTGGATCTCTCCAACATCACAGTTAACGAATCATACATGCTGGCAACCAGTAAAGGGAGGAGCCCAGCAAGAGTGGCAATAGCAAGATAGAGTGCGGTCCTCTTGGAGGATTTGCAGGGGAAAGAAGTAGAGTTTCTTAATCTGTGGAAGGTTTTACTCTCTCTTCCTGATCTTAAACAAGCGAGCCTACTGTGGATGTTGTCCTTATTGGTCACGCCTTCCGCAGTCTGGCTATGCAGCAGAGGGATGAAAGTAGTACTGACATGCCCCCGCTGCTCCTGGCCGTTTGAGTCCACCAAGCACCTGTGGTGGGACTGTCCGGCCTCGAGAAGGGTGTGGAGGTGGTGGGAAGACCACTGGGTAAGGATAGGGGGACAAGGGATTGAGTGGAATGAAAGATGGGTTTTGCTGGGTTTTGAAGGGAACACACAGTCCGGGGAGAAAGGCTGGTCGTACGTAGCACATGTAGCCAGGGCGGTAATTTGCTCTGTGATTTGGGCGGACAGGAACAGGGCCAGGTTTGAAGGCCGCCCCTTCTCAGACTTAGAGATCAAAGCAGGCATTAAGAGAGGGCTGAGGAGAGCGATCTGGGCTGACTGGCGCAGAAGGGCCAAGTGTGGTAAAGGATCAAGGAGGAACCTCTGGTGGTTTCTGAGATCATGGGCAAAAGGTAATCAGTTGGCAGGGGTACATACTACGCGCGGCCTGGTGATATCCAAGTGGCTGAGTAATTAAAGAGAAGAGGAAGGGGCGGGGGGAGGAGTTAGGACCTGGGAGGATGTAGTATCAGAGTAGGGGACCAGGGTACTCGGTCGCTAAGGGGGAGGCTAGAGAGTGCCGAACCTACAACCAGGACACTCGATTTTTAGGGACGCAGTGGTCCAATAGGAGAGTGTCCAGGAGGCAGAGGAACAGGATTTCCACCAGGTCGTGTAGGCCTGGTCGCCGCAATTAGGCGTCTGAAGTAACCTAGGTAGGTTAGAATAAGTGATAGTTTTTAGGAAGCATTCAGGATTATTTTATTGGAATTCTTTGTTAAAAGTGATTCAGATGATTTGTTAAAATTTATGAGTGGGATGGTTTAAGAGGCCCCAGCTTGCTGGGACCCTAAGCTAAACCGACTGAAGCTGCCGGGATAACTCCGAGTGGAATTGTGAGGTCCCCGGCCTCCATTTACGATTGGTTGTTAATGGAAGGATGATCTGTTTAAAAAAAAAAAAAAAAAAAAAAAAAAAAAAAAAAAAGGGTGAAAGATCCGGCCACCACGGTGGAGGTACTTTTTGGGGGCCAGAATTTGTGGGGTACCCTTGATTGTTTCCTATATTTGTCTGCCGCCTCTTTCTCTCTCTCTCTCTCTCTCTCTCTCTCTCTCTCTCTCTCACACACACACACACACACACACACACACACACACACACATGTATGTTTTATGGGCTGGGGTGGAAGGTTTTCCCAGTTTTTTCGGACCCTTAGCAGGGTGGTCGTTGCGTTCTTGCTGGAGGAGTCTTCTGTCTTAGGTAAGTTGTCTCTTATCTTCTTCCTCCTCTTTGGCAGTGATGCGACTGTGTAGTTTGAGATGTATGTCGGGAGTGCCAATGTTGTTATATTTGTTTGTTTTTGGTAAATGAGTTTTTGGTCTCGTGGGCCGATGTGGAAGGCTCTCCAAGTTTTTTGGGACCTTTGAGGGGGTCGGGTCGGTGCCTTTTTGCTAGAGTAGTTTTTTGTCTCAGGTAAGTTGCCTTCTGTCTTCCATCTCCTTATGGACTTTGAAAAAATATATATGTATACATATGTATATGTCCAAGTGTGTCGCTTTGGTGGCAGACGGGTGTGTAGGCACTAGGCGTTNGACTTTGAAAAAATATATATGTATACATATGTATATGTCCAAGTGTGTCGCTTTGGTGGCAGACGGGTGTGTAGGCACTAGGCGTTGAAGCACACAAATGTGGCCAACCTTGCATTTTCTATTATATTAGCCACACACACACACACACTTACACTGCTTTAATTTATTACCACGTGCATGCACACACAACACCGCACACGTGGTGGAAGACCTAGATGAGTACCACGTCATGTTCTCGTGAATTTGAGAACTTGGAAGATTATGACATTGTTCATCCGGGTACAAAGGACAACGATGTATCTGACCGTATGAACGACACATTTTTTTTTTTCCTCTTTTCTCGTTGTTTTCCTTTTGACCAACCATGCATCCAGTAGCCTGCACCCTCTTGAAATTTCAACGAGGCGTGCCAAACCATTCTTCAAATCCGAAGGTTACGAGTTGTTAATAGCATTGGGACGAACTAGTTGTGGTTGAAAGAAACTACGGGTTTGTTAAAAATTTACACAAGTATGCGGTATAGTTGAAAATATTTTGTGTGTGGATGTGTACATGTTGTATTATTGTGTGTGACCATGTCCAAGTAAATGGTGTAT